TAAACAGCCTTATCACTGAAATGACCCAACTAAAGGGACCGAAAGGAAATTCTGAGAGTACCACGTTGAATGGTCCATATTCTAGCAAGCTTTTCAAAGGCTATGGTTGAATAATATTCATTTAACCAGTCAACTCAAATACTATGAGAAAGACATAACAGATTGAATTTTGCTTATCTCATCATGTGGCATCCAAACATCCATTAATCTTTGCTTTGATGGAAGGCATGCATTGAATGAAATTTTATACAAAATTTAATTGTTAAACAACTTTCCCTCCAATTTCTGCTTCTCTATCAAACCAAAAATAGCCCAGAGGAAGAACAAGTAGATGAAAGAAAAATCCATTGAAAATGGGTGAACATGGGGTTTGATTGGTTATCACGATATATTATCAACTGCTGCTCTGTATAGTTGCTAACAAACAAGCAGGCGGACGACTAAACTCCGTCGTGTAATTTGATCAGGAACTACTTCCGGTGTTCAGTTGAAGGATGTCCAGTTAAGAAGAGAATAGAAAGAGATGCAGACGACCCACGCCATGTGATAACTACATATGAAGGCACCCATAACCACGAAAGCCCCTTTTCCTGAGCAGACTCAAATCTCTCTCTCTCTCTCTCTCTCGTCTTCTTCTCATCTAGCCTTGAATTAGAAAAATCAGTGAGTACTCTTGTTGTTTACAGAACATATATGCTGATCATATCTGTGTCAACCGTAAACTATACACCATTTTATGAACAACTCTCACAGAAATTCTCACATCTTTTTTGGAGAAAGAAATTCTCACATTTTAACCTGGAGAGCAAACCGCCACCAAGTGAAAWAAGTGATTTATTTTACTTCCCAACTGGTTGCAAACGTAGCTTGATTCTGTTTCTCAAAATGAAACCCCAAGATAAAATGAGTAGCCACTTGAAAGGTTTCGAAAATTATTGTTTTCAATGCATTTGATTTCACTTCAAGATTATTTTAGAGCCTCCATGTACTCATGCAAAGCGAATGTAACCAAAATATCAAAATTACATAATTAAGAGATTTCCAAAGAAAGAAAACTATATTGTAATTTGTAAGCATAAAAATATTGTGATAGCAATGAGTCCTTTTGCTGCCACAAATAACCAAGATGCTTCTAGCTACGTCCATGGATTGTTTTCATCAGTTATGTGATTAGAAGTTAGATGACGGCCAATATTCAGCTCTAAATAYTCTCACCCTTGGTCTCTACTTCCCTGCAAGGAATGTTAAAGCCGAGTTTCAAAGGATTTTATTTGAGCAATCTAAGGCCATCGGGCATATAGTGTTGGACCCTTTAGGAGCTTGGAGTTTAAAGAGACAGCTATTGCAGGTTCATTGAGGACCAAGAGAATCATGGATCATCTCCATGGGTGGAGCTGCTTTCTTTGCTGCAGGTCTGTGCTTGTCCTATTCTCATGGCTTCTCTGAAGTAGCTGTAGAGGAGYTATTGCAGGTTGATTGGTTGGACTAGTCATGGATATTGGTGGAGCTGGTCTGTGGCTTCTTCATTGTTTCAAAGAAGCAACATCTCTGGCAGTGGCAGCTAGCTAGGAACATCTCGTTCCTTTAGGTGCAGTCGTGCTGAGATAAGCAGAT